TTGTTAATCCTTCTTTTATGCTCACCAATTCTGATGTGCAATTCCCTGGCAGTTTGTCCTATATAAACCTTAGCGCAATCGTTGCAGTTAATTTCGGGGACCAATCACATATTTGCCGACAGTAATTTGGTCATTCTCCCGCCGCAAATGCATTGCGCGAGTCGTGAAAATGGCGACGGTCAGATTCAACTCATCGTGCCATCCGAGAACCTTGCTCGGATGGAACTTCTGGAGGCTTGCGGGCTCACCCTGCAAGAATCAAGATGAGCGGAAACCGCATGCTACTTGCAGCGAAGTTGAGGCGACCAACTGCATTACCTCGTGAGATGATACGCACCCGGACCGAGTGGCCGCTGCCTTATTCAATACCTATCACATGACAAGCCGGAAGTCAATATCCTTTTCCTTTTGTACTTATTTCATTGTGCGTTGCCTCACACAGCATGTTCACAAATATTCAAAACGAAACGACACTGATTTTAGCCCAGATAATGGACACTAGCAGGATCAATGGCACCGGAAGTACAAGAGGTTTGTAAAATCTACCTAATCCATGACCAGGGTAAAGTTGAAAAGGTCCAATCGGTGCTTTTTCCAGTTTAGAGAATGTCGACCGAACCAACATTCCCATTAGCCAATGAACGTGGCTGACAGAATTCGCCTTCACCGTGGATGGTTGATCGATCGCCTTGGCCAGACATGAAGAAACATGAACGCAACACACGATATGCACGTGCACGCGCGCGCGTGTTTCCCACATTAGTCGAAACGCAACGGAGCGACATTTCTCATGGTCCGAGGCACGTCGGTAAGACCGAACTAACACGTACAGCGCGAACTCAGTAGACGTGTGTGTGAGATGAACGACCCTCCTGAGAAAAATCGTGAGCGTAGCGCAAGCAACTAGTCCCACAATAACTTCGATACCGGATCTACAGACTACCGTGCTATCGCAGTCAGCGGAATTACATCCTGGAAGACGGGGACCGCATCAACATCACGGAGACTCTTTCTGCGTTGTCCACCTTCCAATTCGTGGCATCTGGAACCAATGTACCTATGGTACACAGTTTATAGCTGATAAGTTGATTGAACTGACTGACCTCGCGATTCGCGTTATTCTCAAGAAGACATGGAGAAGAATATTCATCTTGGTAGACGATGTTTCGACATGCGCAACACATGGCCGAGCCACCGCAATTGATGGTACTGGATGTTGGTCGAGACCGAACACTCGTTTTCAAATCGCCACTAATCTGTAAGACTCCGGTTGCGTTTGCTCATTTGACCCACCTATGGCATCAGAGCAGTGTATCCCTAAATCTCAAGGGACGTATCTGTTTTATGGTTGTGAGACTTGACCTGTTCGAGCAGCAGAACCAAGACGTCTTCAGGTGTTTGATAAAAGTTGTCTGAGGACCATAGCTCGTGTAGTTTGTGTCGGAGAATCCGTAACGAGGCAATTAGAAAGCGAGTCTCCGGTTGCGCAACGGGTGAATCCATCGAAGAATGTGTCCAGCACCAGAAGCTGCGTTGGTTGGGACATGTGTTGCATATGCCTAACCATCGCTTGCCGAAGAATGTGCTGTCTTCCACCTTAAACTCAGAGGGGTGGAAGCAGAGAGGTAGCCAACCCTTGAACTGGCAGGGAGGCATGAAAGAGATCACGAAGCGTTTCGGTACAGTCGGAGCGACTCGCTTTCCAGGGTGGAGACCGCGTGATCCCCACTGCGCCTGGTTGGAGACACCACAAGATATGGCTGCTAAACGATGTCAACGACGTTCTTGTTGTCAGTTTCTATGAGTGTCTGGTGGTGTGAGCACTTCGGAATGTAGTTGTAGTAAGCTAGCACCAAGTCCTTTCCCTGTCCACCTTTGTTCTTTTCGTTACAACAGGGCTTCCAAATAAATCGTGATTATACGGCGGCGAAGCATCAGCGTGGAACACTGATTTTATGCCATCTCGACAACGATGATAAAATAGCCTCGTTGAGGCCATCTGGCGACAGCGAAACGTTTGAGATACCAGCGGTCAAAACCTGAAGACGCTTCGCATCACCTGTCCACATGCCTCATGACCCATCCACAAGGCGACCCGTAGCCTGGCGAAGGGACCCTTTTTTGATGCTACAAGTGACACGAATCGGAAAATATGATACTAGCACTTGAGATTCGTGCGCTGAGTTCATCAGATTGCCCTCAGGGCTAACATGATTACAGAGATACGTAGAATTCTCCTTGGATTGCAAGTAGAATGTTCATGGATTGAATGTTCTAAAGGATGACTGTGCACTTTGTAGACGCAAGTCGTATACCAAGAAAGACATGATGGTAGTGCTTGTGCTTGAACTTCGTGTTGAAAAATGACGACTGCAGAGCGGTAACGATCGGGACCCCAGTGTTTGTCTCATTAACGATCGGGACCCCAGCGTTTGCCTCATTATTTCATTGGTGAAACAAAATCGGAGGGAATGGACGTCATTGCGCGGCATCAAGTTTTGCAGTAAGGTTCTCACGGGGCTCCCAGTGCACCCACACATGTACGGAAGTATCCTCGGATTATGTTCACGAACTTCTAGAGCACGGTCTGTAGAGCGATCATGGTTAGGAGCAGTGTTCCAGAGGAAGAATCAAAGGCATCTTTGAAATCAAGAAATGTCGCCTGTACACATGGTGTTGAACGAAATGTGAAGCTATGATCAGCGTAGGTTCAATCAGGTCGAAATTTGGTTTGATGCTTACGAGTGAAGAGGTATCATGCCACCCGGATCAGTGTAGCACCCTGTATCACAAATTACAAGCTTGAACAAAAAGCAGAAGTTCAGGGGGTTGTCAGCATGCGTAGCCAAAACCCATGCTTCACAAATCAATCTCGAGTCGAAACTACGGCAGTGCATGCTTATATTAAAGTAAATTAGATGAACATAACTTCACTTCACGAACAGAAAACTTACTATAATAGTACGGCGCAGTGCCAAATTCAAACTTTTGTGCGTTTGCGCCCCGAATGCGTGGAAGCCCGAAATCGGTCAACTTGACGGCGAATCGGGAATCCAGAAGGCAGTTGGAACTTTTCAGGTAGCCGTGAGGAACTAGCAGCTGGTGAAGGTAGGTCATCCCCTGGTGAGAAAAAGAGTAAATGGTACTTAGGGGCAAGAACAGGGCACGCAAGAGATATCCAGTTCCTCTTGTTGGATGACGAACGTGACAACCGCGACCACGAAAACAAAAGTATTCTGGTGTGTCTGTTTCTGTCCAGACTTGAGAACGAAGCTCTCCAGATATGCCTGTCGTCCGTTTGCGAAGAAGAATCAGGACCGAGACCTATGGGAGACACATCTAACACCGTCCCCTTCACTGAAACTAATTTCCTGCACACACTCACACACGTTGGTGGAAAGATTGAATGACATTTTCAGCTACAGTATGCAGAAACTCAGCGAGACCACCCGTATTATTTTCCTCTGCCCCCACCCCCCAATTCGAACAAGAGCCTTGAAATCCTGAAACCCTATCACCAACCGGGCTGCTAACCGATTTCGACTCTAAGATGCGGACACAATTTCAGAGACGGCAGGGTTGTTGATTGCCAGTCACTGGATTATATCACTTTGATACGCTTTTTTGATTAAATTCCGCATCACCTCTGCCCTTCATTGATGCATACTATCATGAACTGCGTTTTCAGATGATCAAAAAAATTGTTCAGCTGTAACTCCCTTCTGGTGCAGCCCAAAGGAAGCACGAGGGCTGGGGTACTGCCAGGTTTCCCAAGACTAGACAGGGAAAGTCGAGATGCAGAGGCCGGGTTCGAACCACAGAATTTCAGGTGGGTAAATTCGCGCTCTAACCACTTGAGTTATCTCGCCCCCCCATCAGTGATTAATTAAATCGAATACCACAATACAGGTATCTGAATACTATTCATAAAGCGGCCCTGATGGGGATGAATGAAGTCTAGTCAAGAAAGTTAATGTTGACATAAAAGCTGTTAACTTGAACGTTATTTCATCTTATATGCGGGACAGCCTATACCAAAAAGCCGAAATACGCCCTACAACCAGTTCGCGTCTGTTGTGAACCATCACAACGGGGACCAAACAAATACATAATAGGATTCGAATCCATGACTCTCCCTCAATCAGGTGAACACTATATCATCCGACCACAAATGGCTGGAAGGCACCATGAATAACGCTAACCTAGACAGGATACAGCAACCCCTATCGCTAATCGCGCAGCTCACGTGAAGTGATACGAAGATTGCTGGTTCCTTGCAGACGGACATTTCAGATAAAAACCCATGATCCTATTCCTTTCTGAACAACCGGCTTAAGTACAGTGGTTTTACCATCGATGTCTTCGGAGCATTGCCCGAATCTGGTGGCAACACCGGATCAGCAATACTGAAGTTCGTCGAATGGTGTTCGGGAGAAATAAGTCACCCTCGACAGATGAACTGATCACACCTCATGCGTTGCGGTAGCTTGGCCACGTGCTGCGTATGCCAGTCGACCGACTTTCTCGAAGGACTCTTTTCGCACAACCACGTGAAGGGTGGAAGAGAGCCAGAGGCGGTCAAACTATGACTTTGCAGGAAAGTATGAAAGCCATTACCAGCAAACTCAGCTGCGCTGGTCATTGCCGTCTTCCTGGATGGGGACCCCGAGATGGGCCACATCAATGGCTACAGACATTGTCAGATATGGCCCAGTCGCGCCCTCAATAATGGTCTTGCATCCAAGCTATTGCCTTCAATGCTTAGTTCCCTTCCCAATCCCTCCACTTGACAGTGCTGGATTTATGCACCAATTTATCATCTCCCGCCTCCAATGCGCAGCTACCTACCCCTGCCCCCAAATCATCGGTGAACGAAGCTGTGGCAGCTACAACCACTGTACGACGAGTACGCGGTTATTACAACTGACAATGATGATGACTATTCGTATTCACTAGTTGAATCTGTGAGCACCGCTCATGCGAAGTACAGCTCACGGTAAGCATTATCTGGGATCGATGAATTGAATTCAACAACGCTTCACACCTCACATCCTGAAGGCCATTTTCTGTGAGTTTGTTATCCGATTGCTTCTAACAGCAGGTGGCTGTTCCACACGGTATATCTTGCAAGACGTTTGATTGATGAAAACACATAGATACCAAGATAGGTGTCATGAAATTCGAAGAAAATACCGAGGTAGTTCAAACTGACTCTCGAGAAAAACCCTGTCCGTATGCATTTTGCATCCAGTGCCTCTTAATACCTGGTCAATAATCCCCTCATTTGTGTGACAGTGGGACAGAAGAAACTCCAGAAAATGTCACTCGTTGACTGATGATACTGAATTTCTGACGTGAAAATCTACTGGCTTATGTCATGAGTTAGATAAAGACGTCCATATGCACCGTGAACAATGGATTTACTACTTCATATAAATCTGATATCCCAGAGGGACAAGAACAGATCTCAAGTTCGAGACCGGTTCACGCGTTTCAAGATGGGTCTTTCCACTATTCGTTAGCTCAACAACAGGAAGATTACCTTTGGTCAATTTGACCGCCATCAAACTAGACACGTTTTCACTGTTATTGATTCCTCCATCTCCCCCTATTTTATTCTCACATTGGAATTCAACACGGTCAGTGTGTTAAAATAGGGCTGAGCAGTGCACCACCGTTCCGCGTGATCGCACCCAGATACACACGACATTCATGAATAAAAAATGTCCATTTGCCGGCTAGTCGCAAAATGTAGGTAGTGGTTTCAAGTCAGGTTCCATTTGCTTCTCGATTATTTAGCTAAGTATGAAAAAACCTCGCTGAAAATCTGAGAGTCACCTGCTCATCTATGAGGTTTTCAAGTGTAGGATGACAGTGAAAAACTAGGATAAAGATATGACAGTGTGTTTATTGTGTCCAAACTCGGGCTTTGAACTCATACCAACCTAGTGCATGCCTCTTCTCGTTAGCTGACACATATGTACTTCATGCCGTCACACACAATGAGAATTGGGGAAAAAGTTGGAGATGACCAGCGCACACTTTCCGCAAACGGTCTTTGACACTCCTTTCTCGAGTACTTTTTGCACAACCATCTTTTGCAAAGATGGCTCACCAAAGGTCCGTGTATTCGTACGTTCGGTCTGACTGATCTAAGAAGCAGATCCCGGATTGGCTGATTCAACGGATCAGCTGCCGAATGCGCCAGTCGCTCATTGGTTGACGTGTCAGTTCGGATGCGTGGGCGATCACGCGACTTGTGATGTACAGTCTGGTCGCTGAGGGTCTAATCAATACCGTAAGTTCTTGTTTGTATACCGAGCGCACAAATTCCCATCAAGGTAAACAAACGATAAACACAACTGTATTATACGTAACCGACATCCGTTCATCAACTCACCCGACAAATATCCTGCATCAAAGACAATTTGAAAAGCCAGTCCATCGTGAATCGTTCATTTTTCAGAAAATCGTACAGACTCCCTTTCGGGCAATATTCCATCACAAAATACTGCCGAGAAGGTTCCAGACAGACACCGATGAGCCGACATATGTGGTCATTGTTCAGGTCCTTTATCTGAAAGGCGAACAGATGCGAGAAAGTGACTCTGAGACTAGGAAATTTGGGATCGTTCAGTTGCAATACTTTTTCGGTGTTTGGTTGTCATACTATCTACCAGGTTGCCCAGGCCTAGACAGGAACAGTCGATATACTGGGGTCGGTTTCAAACCTTGGAGCTTTCGTTTGCGCTTCAACTACTGGGCTATCTCAAGCTCAGAAAAATTCGAAGAGCGGCTTCGGAAGACTAGCCCATCAATCGGTCAGTCGTATTCTTATCGAAAACAACTTTTCAAGTGAAGTATAAAACCGTCCACCCGGAATAACTGCTACCGATGTGAAACTCTGGGATCATCATACGTCAAACACCTCCAGATTGCTCTCAATGGTCACTAAAAGTGGATAAATTACCGCGAAGCTGTCTAGGAATTGCTGAACTACTTTAGGTAATAACAGTTTTCTTACTAAAACCAGCCTTCACTAGAAAGAGTCTAGACTCTCGTCTAACAATGATCGATGACACAACGTCACCCCGGGCTAGACCATCCATGAAGTATACGGCTACCCGGTCGAAGTGTGCATAGTACACCCCGATCACGTCATTCAGAAGCTCAACAGAACAACCGGGACAACACGAGGATGAAGGAAGTAGTAGCATTTGTCAAGGAAAAACGTGCCATCGAAGCTGTAAACTGCCTCATCAGATCGTAAACTTGGATTGCAAAACTTCCTTCCAAATGAATACACCATTGTGACATACTGATCATGAAAGTTATCTCTTAAGAAACCGAACACGGGTGGCTGCATGCGCATAGGAAAAAGAACTTGTTCAGCTGTAGGACCCTTTCGGTGCCCAACTGCCATGCCACCCGAAGGTTGCAAGAGGGTTGGGATACTGCTGGTAGCCCAAGCTTAGACAGGGGAAATCGATAGGCAGAGGTCGGGTTCGAACCGCGGACCTTCTGGGCCATCTCGAAGTGTTAGAAGCAAGCTCAGAAGGCGCAGTTAATGGTTTTTTATCGAGCAGGTGCCTCGACAACAATCGATTTGAAAGTCTGATGATACAAGACAAGTTACGAACGAATAACTGTGTGGGTGCGTTTACTGAAAGTGAAACGTGGCAGTTTTGGGACGATTGTTCTTGATGTTGGTTCCTACGTGGGAACCCTATAAGTACACTTCGTTGCCGCCCATTTTTCCGTTGAGTATGCCCCTGGATTCATCCTTTTTTCACACAGCCAGATTCCTGGAGAAAATTTGGGGACATTTTGAGTGAATTTTAGGTGGGTAGAAACTGGCCGATCATGGAAAAGACGATAGATCGCATTTGTACGGTTATTGGCTGATTGTGTTGCGGCCTGAGCGCGTTGCTATCATCGTGAACACCACTTCTCCCCCTAACCACACTTTTGGAACCAACACGAAGTGACGTACTTTTCAGGTCAATTTCATTTTCGTACGACGATTATATGAACATTTCGATTGTTGACACGAAATCCTGACCGCTGAGAAAAAAGCATTACCAAATATTAGGCTCCCATAGAGTCATCCTTATGCTTTACCAGGACCGGAAACGAGATGGTCCAAGTGGTTAGAGCGTGAATTCATTGACTGTGGTTCGAACCCGACTTCCCCTGTCCAGGATTGGGCAACCTGGCAGTATCCCAGCCCTCGTGCTTCCTCCGAGTGACATGGTACCGGAAGGGTGTTACAGCTGAACGATTTTTTTTACCAGGATAGTGTAGGAATCACCTCAAGCTGTCCATATATATGGACATTTTTGCTGGATAAGTAAATACGCCCACGTTTCTGACCGGGAGCCAAATTCCCTAGTCTCCAGTTTTCAACTTATCTCCCAGAAGCTCATTTTACAAACCATTTTGATTAAATTCTGTGCTTTGAACCTCCCTAACTGATCTCCAGACTTTGAGTTTGTCGAAAGCTAAAGTTGACTTCCATTAGCAGGGGATGAGACAAACAGAACAATTACATGCTTACCCGACTTGGTACTGAGATAGTATCCAGTGTGCGACATGTATCATTTAGTTTGGGACTGAGCCCAAGAGAGTTCAGTGATTAGGATAGTTCGTGGTTTGAACCCAACCTCACCACCTCTACTGATCCTGTCTAGGCTTGAGCAGTATCTTGATGCTCCCAGCTCTCTCAGATGGGATGGCAGCTAGGCACCGGGATTGTGTTGCAGCTGAACGATTACCGATTACTGATATTGAGTTTCATAATTAAATACTAGTAGTGCCCAAGTATAGACGGTTAAGGCCATCTCAATGAGATGAAACGGAATTTAGCTGTTCTGTTTGAGTACGTTTCATGACATTAACGTGTCGGCTGATGTCACTATCACTTTGGTAAACTTGAGCTTTGCACCTGACAATGAGTCGAAACAATTTGAAGCAAGTGAAATTCAGCTCTCGTAATTTCGGTCTCAATTTTGAGTCAACGAAGACAGACGGATTTCGCATCGCATTCGGAAAAAAATGAGCACACTCGATGATCATGATCAGTTTCGATCAGGCTGGAGACTGAAACTTGCTAGGTTGAACGCATTGTGTGACTCCGTGACCCATTGGGCTAGACTGTAGGGCATTCGTGTGATACTCACAGAGTCTCGTATCAGGTTGGTCAACGGTTGAAGGTATGACCACTGATCCTTTGCTCTTGATGACGATGATGAGGCTAACAAATGCACTAAATCGAGCCTAACCGTCTCGGTGACTAGTCATCAGCTTTACTCACCAAGCGGGTTACATTTTAGGGTCCTATGTTAACGAAAGTCGGATCTCTAAATGGGACAATGTAACTTAACTCCAGAAATCGCAAAAAGAAATTTATCCAGTCATCGGTCCGATTCCCCGTTTTCCGAGTAGTTTTCAGAAAATTCCGGATAGAAATTCTGTAGATATCATAGGGTAATCATTAGGAGTCAGTAGTACAGGCACACAGAAGTTCCTTCAATTCACCCCCCATCGTAAAACGGCACTGTAAGACCGATCCAGCTCAGTCCTTCAGACATTGGAAAAACAGCGCGAAGTGACTCGATGGAAGTCAATTTTACCTTCGACTCACATGGCATGAGAATATAATGTTAGTTGTATATGTCATGGTTGTACGAGGGCCAAGATACTGCCAGGGCTCCCACACCTAGACAGGAGGACGATTAGGGTTCTCAACCAAAGCCTTTGGCTCAAAAGCCTAACCGCAAGGCAGCGGTGTTTGGCGGGGAAATACAAATGCATTACCATTTTTTTCACGGAACACTTCGCCATACATGTTCCAACTCCCAACCTGGAAGGTCAGGAGACTGTGTTCGTCGGAACTCTACCCATGGACCAACCTGGTATTAGAGACTCTGTGAGCATCGTGTGGACACTCCCCAGTATAGCTCAATGGGTCGCTGAGGTACACAAACCGCCACACTACGGTAAGGTCCAGTCTCTTCGTGACGGCGACTCACATGGACCGCATGTTAGTCACAACATCAGATGATGCCCGTCAGAACCTCGTTCAGACAACGGTACATCAGGCTGATATGGATGAATGCGGTGCAATTTGTGATGCATGTGTGCCTCCGTTCTTCGCTCATTGATTCAAAGAATCGGTGGACTCGTTTGTGACCATGTCTGTTGAAAGTTGTAGCTTGACCCTGGTGACGTAAACTAGAAAAGATGCATTTTGGCATGGTCACCCGATGGTAATGGAGATGACCACAAAAGTCACACTCTCAACGTTCCATGGTAACTGCGACAGCTGCTCTGGCTTAAAGCAACTTGATGGGTCGATCAATTGCACCGGCTGATTCTTGCAACCGCCCCCCAGAATCGTTGCATGTCTATTCCGCATTCCCGTTGCAACATCCGGCTTCAGCGTTACGATAGTATTTGACCAACCTGTCTGCCCGAGTTCAGTACACCATACAAGGAACAGTGCGGTGTGATATGCACAACTACCGTAGTTCAATATGCAATCAGAGATGGAAGCGAATTGAACTGACTGACAGCCGTGTCGTTCGGTTTTTTTTGTGGTTGGTTTGTGAAGCGTTTACCATCGATGCGACTACCTGTTGGCGTAGGCATTCATTGGGGTGTGCTGGCGAATTGGCAGGTGGAGCATGCCTGCAAATCTACTGTCACGGGGCACACAATTCGTTAATGCAGAACACAGCATTGACGAAGATATCCTTGTCACTGATTAAGACGTAGCTCAACGAAGAGTGAAAACGACAAAACATGTTATAAAATTGCCCTGGTATTCGAAAACAAATGGATTGGTACTGACGAAGATATCCTTGTCACTGAGTAAGACGTAGTCCAACGAAAAGTGAAAGCGACAAAACATGTTACAAAACTGCCCTGGTATTCGAAAACAAATGGATTGGCAAAAAGTCGGAGATCCGAATGGCCAAAAAACTCGGATCCTAGCCAGAAAGATGTTGTGAACATCCACCCAAAAGCGATTCTTCCCTGAACGAATGCGAAGGATAAAGACGAAGTCATCTCCAGAGAGGAGACAGTTAAGCACAGATCGAATAATTTCCTCCGGGGTAGTGGGAGAAATAAACTAAACTGTTAGATCTCGGTTCCCGTCTCAGTGGGACCAAACAGCGAAAGGAAATACCGTTACCAAATGTACCATTTCAGGAGAATCACAACATATTGACGACAGAAATGAGCCCATAGGCATGGACTGTCATAATCGCACCGCATCCTGGGACAAAACACACCCTGGAGTTCTCGAATCGGTTTCCTCTTGGAGGTAACGCCTTAACTTGTTTCGATGACCAAGATGACTATCACACAAAAGGAACCCATCCCTACGTCAACCGCTTACGCAACTACTCTTTACGAATGTGAATCGACTCAATCTGTCAACAGTTCGAAATGCAGTATGCACTACGAAGCTGGATAACACGATGAAGCAAACACATGGTAATAGTTTATTTCTCCACTCCCTATTAGGTGCTACCAGTTTGTCGTACAACTTTACTACACGTAGTTTCCATT